GCTTCGGATGGGGGATTGGAGGGAGAGGGAGAGAGAGGAAGTGGAAAGGCTCAAGATGTGATGTGTTGGGGCCAGGGATTTAGCTCAGTGGTTCTGCTGCCTGCCTCGAAAGTGCAAGGTCCCAAGTTCAATCCCTGGTACCAAAAAAATAAAAAATAAAGATGTGATATGTTTATGTACAGTGCCTCCCAACAATTGTATGTACAGCAGACTCTTGACTTAGGAACTTCATTCATTCTCAAGGGCTGGTTGTAACTCAAGTTGGTATTAAGTCAAGACTATTTTTCCCATAAGAAACAATGGAAATACCTATAATGCTTTCTGAACCTCCCAAAGTGCCCCTTAGCCAACCTCTTCATAATAAAAAAGGCTTGTATTGGGTGTGTAATTTACCAGAAACACCAATAATTTTCCTAGTGTACTCACCAAAAAATTATGCCTTATTTACCAGAAACAACAATTTCATGCGTGCTCACCATTCAAGTTGGCATCTTTGGCTTGCAGGAAGGGAGGACGAAAAGGAAGGTAACTATTGTTTGGAAGGAGAAGCCCTTCCATAAGCACATGAGGAATCTGGCTGTCTGGTGTCCTTTCTCTACTTGGGAGAGTCTGTAGCCCACTAGGACCTGCTTCTGGCTCACTAGGTCTCAACCCTCTCAGAACTAAAAACTGGTCTAAGGCTGTCTGTTGCTATCTTTAACACTGTTCTGTAGTATGATGTGACACTGTCATTAAGCAAGTGAATGCAACAATGGGCTTTTTCTCTGTCTGGGTGGATCTTTTCTACAAATGTTTATAGCTCTGTCCATTTTTGCAGTATTTCCTGTATTTCAGAAGAACTTTGCTGCACGGACTGTTGATGCTCCCCCTCCTCTTCAGAGAGCTCCTCAGCTGCCATACTCTGTTGCTCAGCTGGAAGTTCCTGAAGTTCCTCTGTAGACAGTTCCTCTGAGAGTTCCTCCACCACTTCCTCAGCATCACCACTGTCTACCTGCGAGCCTGTGGACTCTGCTATAATAATAGAGTCATCAACCACAGGGTCGACTGAAGGCTCGGGCTCCTCTACACAGCCTTCAACATCTCTCTCCTGTGTGATTTTAGGCCACATTTTCTTCCGGGCAGACCTCAGTGTCCTTAGAGAGACCCTGGCCCAGGATTTCTCAGGTAACCCCACACAGGAAAGGATGTTGTCACGTTCCTTCCAGAACTCTTTAAGGGTTAAATCTGTATCTGAGACCATCTGGAAGCACAAGCAGCTAACATTCAGGTCATAACTCAAGACTTTGATTGTAAGTTAAAACTAAAATTCCAGTTATAACCCAAGTTGTTCGTATATGAGGCCAGTCGTAACTCAAGGGTCCAGTGGATTATGTGCTGCAAATACATGCTAATAAAAACACATATTTTAAAAAAGAGTCAGGCATCCTTTTGGATTCTACTTCGCCCACCCACCCACAGCCCGGGGCCTCACCAGACTGCTGCCCCTCCCCACATGTCACACCCTGGTCTGGCCGCTGTCCCCTCTCCCGGGACATAGCAAGCTCTTCTCCCCAGCCATTCCTGGTCAACTCCTTTCTCTTCAAGGCCAGAAGCTTCGTTTGGGTCTGTAGCTTCTGTCTCTGTCTGGGGTGGGAATAAAAATTACCTTACAGCATCGTTTCAAGAATCACATGAGGTATTTCATAGCATAGACAAAACCAGACCTATACATTTTTTAAATTATTTAAATATAATTCTGAAATCATATGTGAGATGGGCCAGGTGCAGCCTATAGAAAGCTGGGGAAGCTGGGAAATTGTAATTTGAAAAATACTGTAATTCCGAGATGTGCTCTTTTTTTTATCTCAGCCCTTCTCTGCATGTGTGGCTTATATTTTCCTAGGAAAAATAATGGTGAGGACCTCGGGCTTCAAAATACCTAAAATAGCCAGTTCTGTCTTTCTCGCTGCAGCTGCTACCCAGGCCCCAAGCTGAGGGATAAGGTCACTAATTAAAATGTTCATTAGAGTTGGGGGGAAATCCTAGGGTTTTTTCCAAGTGCAGTTTACCTCTAAAGCTGGCTACCTTGAGACCATAACATGTGCGCCCCAGAGGAAGACTTTGAAGACAAAGTTTTTAAGTCTTTATACTACGAATTTTATGTGAAAATGTTATCCACATAGTTACATGTTTTTAAGCATATTTTAAGTTGTGCAAAGATCGAGACAGCACAAAATAAACAAGAGTGGGAAATCCCCTGGATGTAAAGAAGAAGAGAGAATTAAGGAACGCCGCACGATCCACAATTTGGGCCAGGGTTGGTGGAGGTCTGAAGTTGACACCAGAGCAACTTTCTGCCTCTGTGAGTTGATCTGCGATCTCACAGCGCCACCTGGTGGCCACCGTGGCCGCCCGGCTGCGACAGCTGTGCTCAACAGCTCCACCTGGCGGGAGCTGACCCCGGGCCGACCCCGGGAGCGTTTGCTTCCTGAATATGGAACTGAGAGCGCGAGAAAGCGCTCGGGGCCCCGGGGGCGTCCTGGCGGCGCTGGGGCTCTTTTCGGGGTCCAGGAGGAGGTGCCCCGGGGTCCGAGCCCTCCCGTCCACCCTGCATTCTGTACTGCCTGTGCCGCCCAGCCAGCCACGCCTTCTCCAGGTGGGCTCGGGGCCGGGTGCTTTGAGAACAGGTGAGGCCGTTTTCCGCTTTGCAAGTGGGGAAGAGGAGGGAGCCGCCGACCGCACAGCCCCAGCGCTGCGGCCTGCCCACAAAGAGGCGTGGAGAAGGAGCTTGCAGGCTCTCAGCCCCGCAGAAGGAGCTGGACCCGGCAGGGTCCTGGCCGCACCACGACCTGGGGCCATCATCCCCACTCTGCCACCTCGGTGTTTTGTGTCCTGGGCGAGCTGCTGGCCTTCTCTGAGCCTGTTTCCTCAATGACAAACGGGTGTGGAACAGAACTCGGCTCAGTGCCGCTGAGGACCCGTGTTCCTGGGGCCTTGTTAGGAAAGCAGAATCTCAGGCTCTGCCCCAGACCCCCTGAACTGAGACTCTAAGGGTGGCAGGGCCAGCAATCCACATAACAAGCCCTCTCCCTTCCCATACTGCTTGAGCCTGTCCACCTTCCAGGGTCACTGGAAAGGACCGGAAGATGCTCTGTGGGTGTCTGCTCTGACTGCAACTCGGGAACTCCTGGAGGGGTCTTTTTCCTTCCTTTCCTTTTTTACACTGTTTTTCCAAAAGGAAGAGATGCTGTTAAACATCAAGTAAATTGTGGAGTATTACTCAGCCATGAAAAAGGAATGAAGTTCTGAGATGCTGTATTGTGGGTAACCCTCAAGACATTATGCTAAGAGTCAGATACAAGAGGCCACAGAGTACATAGTTCAACTTCTGTGAAATGTCCAGAAAGTGCAAGTCCATATTGACAGAGGTGGACTAACAATCATTTAGGGGTGGAGGGAAACTGCGAGGGATGACTGTGGATGGAACAGAGGTTTTATTGGGGACCAGGATTTAGCTCAGTTGCACTGCACCCGCAAGCACGAGGTCCTGAGTTAGATCCCCAGTACCAAAACAAAAAAGAAAGAAAGAAAAGAGGTTTTATTGGGGGGAGGTAATAAAAACATTCAGGAAGTAGGCAGGGTGCTGGGTGCATGAGATTGTGAATATACTAAATGTCAGGAATGGTAAAGTTTATGTGCATTTCCCCACTGTGCAAAAGGCCACCTGGCACCTTGCACAGCTCACGGGTGTATAAGCCCCACCTGGCCCTGCAACAAGCAATGCTAGGAGTTTGGGGATTCCTTTGACATCGGTCTTCACGCTCTAATATGTACATGTAGGCATTTACTGGGTTCACCTCCTTTGAAAATCATAGCTCGATGAGCACACACATCTCCTATGAAACTTGGAGTGACTCCTCACATGCACCCCTCGCGTTGGCCCCTGGCCTCAGTCATTTCTTTTTCTTTTTCTTTCTTTCTTTTTTTTGGTACTGGGGATCAAACTCAAGACCTTGCGCTTTTGAGTTGGGCACTGGAAACACTGAGCTAAATGCCCGGCCTCAGTCATTTCTTAATAGCTGCCCAGCATGCCCCCCGCATCCCCCTGCTGGGGTCTTGTCACCTTGAGCGGCTGTCCGGAACATGAGTTGACATGTCCTGTTACAGGCAGGGCTCCGTCTCTATCTCTATTGGGTGATTTACAAAAGTGAGGTGGCAGGCTCTCTGACCCGGAGTCGTCCCTCAGGGACCCCTGGGCTCCCTTTGCAGGGTTGGGACCCTGCCCCAACCCACATGCGCACCCTACCCGGCCTGGCCGTCACCGGGATCCATCATTTTTCCACTTGTGAATTGAAAATCTCATTGCAGAGGGGATGCTTTGTGATTCTCTGACAGGCCAGGTGGTGGAGCGCTTTGCCAACGCTTGGGCCAGTGACGGGAACGCAGGTCCCCTGGAGGTGTCCTAAGACCCTCGCTGCTCCCCGGAGAGCGCGTGTGAGCCCACGTGCCCACCCTGCAACCATTTCTGGGGTCCAGGCAGACATGCTCACTTGTGAGGCCCGCCGCCGAGCCCGCTCTTGAGTTTTCCGAGTGGAGCAGTCTGCAGCCCCGCTGACATTTGGGATGAACACAAACATCGGTGTTTTTCTAAATGTTAATGGGTTTCTGTGCCCTCTGCTGGATGCTTCTGCAGTCAGTGCACAGTGCGGAGGCAGAGCCCAGTGACGAATTTTCCTCTTCCCGGAAGCTTGTTTTCCTCTGCTGCAGGACTGGCCCTGGAGTTTCAAGATCGGAACGTACTTTTGAGCACGCTGCTGAGAGAGCCCTCTACTTACTATTGAAATCAGCAAGTTTAAGGGAAATTGCTTACCCCTCACTTCGGGAATTACTGGTTCTAGACGGAGACTCATGTAGAAGAGTTTACGGGGCTCTCTGGAAGCAGGGGGTGCATTGATTCCCAGAGAGTAAACACTTCAAGCGGATTAAGTGGTGGTGGTTAGAACAATGACAGCGGCTACCATTTTTCAAGTCTGTCCAGTACCAGGCACTCCTTCCCTCCAGTGACAACAGGGGGCAGATTTATTATCCGAATATGACACAGGAGGAAACTGGGACCTGAGAGGTGCCAGTGCTTGGCCAATGGCAGAGGAGAACTGGAGGGCTGGGGATTTAGCTCAGTGGTTCTGGCGCCTGCCTTGCAAGCGCGAGGTCCCAAGTTCGATCCCCAGTACCAAAAAAAAAAAAAACTACATACAGAGGAGAACTCGGAGCCGGAGCTGCTGGACTGCAATGCCAGGCCTTTCCCACGGCATGGCGGGCTCGGGCCATGGGTGTGCTGGTCCGTGGGAGATGGCTGGCAGCCCTAGGGACACACAACTGTCCCACCACGGACTAAGAAGGAGCCTATTTAGTGCTCAAGAAGCACTGTTGCTCACAGAAGTCTGCCCTCGCTGTGCATCTGAAGGTGCTGGACACGAACTTGCTCTATGTTGATAATAAAGGCATTGAGAGCAATTTGAAAGGGGTTCCAGGATAACTTAATGCAGGGTAAGCGGTACCACAGTCCTGAGGGGCCACCCAAAGGATGCCCTCTCTGTGCTGAAAGGACCCCGGGGGGGCGAAGCTGCACCGGCCGGGGTGCATCCAGGCCTGTGCAGAGGGAGGAACAGTGGCAGCAGCCCTGCCCTGCACTATACCCCGCTAAGGAGAGAAGGCAAAGTGCTGACGGCCCCGGGGGAGCCCAGGACCCCGGTGTTCAGAGGTCCAGAGAGGCCGCATGTGGGGCAGCCAGTGCGGCACACAGCACCTTCCATACCAACATCTCTCTCAGAAAATAGCTCCAAAAGAGCGTAACACATCAGCTGCTTACAACCCCAGGCTTCTGTGTTTCTGAGCAGTGTGTAACGGTGACAGCGATCCTTTAAGAGTTTGCGATGACATGATCAGCCTGCTGGCGCGGTCGTGGTAAGTCTGCCACTGTGGCTGTGTGAGACACAGGCTGAGTTCCACAGATACAGTGCTGAGGGAGGAGGGTTGGATTGTTGATTGTTGCTTTTGCTTTTACCGTGCTGAGGCTGCAATGCAGGACCCAGCATGTGCTAGGCAAGTGTTCTCCCACTGAGCTACACCCCAGACCCCAGGTGCTAGGAGTGTGTTCCAATGCCCTGCGCACGCTTAACTCACCAGTGTCTACCTGAATCAGGGGCGTGTGCACATGCGGTGCTCGCCCCGAGTTGTGTGTCCAAGTGCCAGGCTCTTGGCTCTCCCAACAAAGAGCAGAGCTGTGCTCATGGCAGACACACGACCAGGACTGATGCCCCCGGTTAAGTTAAAGGGTGCCCACATCACCCGGCACCTGCTCATTAGCTGCATGAACTAGCCTGCCGGCTTGGACTGTTTAATATCTGCCTACTGACATTGGATCACATCCACCTGCCAAAGGCAGGATCTCAGTTTTGACATCATTGATGCCGAACTATTTTTTTTCCTACTATTTGTCAAACAGGTTGCTGAGCTGGGCATAGCCACGTAGACCGTGAGAGACATCGTCCACACAGATCTCACTTGCTATGACAGCAGGAAATACGGCCCAGGAATTTAAAAGCTGAATCTGGTTACGAGGACGTAAGTCAGAATGAAGGGCAGCAGGGTTCATGTCACTCCCACCACGTGATGGGCAGAGTGCCCCCCTGAAGGCACCTTTGCCTCAAATCCGGACCCCGGAAGATGTCAGGACACGGCGTCAGGGGCCATACGGGTCACCCCACAGGGCCAGGCTGTGAGCCACCCCTGGGGAACTGGGGTTGTGCCTGGCACTTCTCCAAGGAAGCACATCAAGTGTGACTGCACAGCAGTCCCACGGGAGAGCTCCTCGCCATCTGTGGCTCAGCTTTCAGCTGCAGCTGGGCCCAGCCCTCTCCCTCCCGGCAAGTGGCCCTGGCCCAAGGTTTTGTGTGACCGCCTAAGTTCGGTATAGAGGCTGGCGCTGGTCTGCCCGAGGGAAAGCCGGGCAGGAAAAAGAGCCCATGGGAGCACTGCTTGGGGACAACAGGAAGAGGGGCCACCTGACACCAGCAAGTCGCCCCGCAGCCAGGGTGACAAGGGCCCTTCAGAAGAACCTCAGCCCCCACGTCATTATGTAAGTCCATCTCTCCAAGGTGGCCCAGCCAAACTTCTGGAACATTACCAGCCACGGGAGCCTTTCATTCTCCGTTTCACCACTGGAGCTCCCAGCCCACTCTGCAGGACCTGCCAACATCTGCAGCACTTGTTTTGTGCAGTAACAATAGTGCTATTATCATTATTGTTATTACTCGTGTTATGCTGCTGCATTAGACAGGCTCCAGAAGGGAGAGAAGGTAACTGGTTTCCCATCACCCCTAACAGTGTGATTGGACACAATGTACAAATAGCTTAGAATTAACGCCAGGCATCAGCGGTGAGGTCTGTAACAAATGACTGAATGAACACAAACACCTCTTTCATCAACACCTCCTGAAGAATGGCAAACAGGAGAGCACACGTGTGTCTCAGAGGAGCTGTTTTCCTACTCTGATGAGCAGCGGGGGCCGGGCTCTGGAAAGGCAGACTTTTGGGGGGAGCTGTTTTGGGGTCCCCGCGCAGCCCGACCCAGAGCTGCCTGTCTGAAGAACCTCCTCACGGTCAGTTCGCTGGGGCCCTTTACCCCCGACCTGGCCATCCAGTGCAGGAGGAACATGTGTCGCTCCCTCTGCTGGTGTTGCAGGTGGCGGGCCAGGGCGATGGGTGTCTCCCCGTGGGCGTCCCTGTCGAGGATGGAGGCCCCGTGCTCCAGCAGGAGTGTGATGCAGTCCAGGCGGCCCATGGCTGAGGCCACGTGCAGGGCCGTCCTGCCCACCGGGGACCTGCGGCGGCAGCTGGCTCCTGGGAGACAAGAGAATGGCTTGGGCCGTGCTGGCCGGGAGCCTTCAGAGACACTCAGGGAGCCGGGCGTGGGGGCGCACACCTGGAACCCCAGCACTCTGGGAGGCTGAGACAGGAGCATACCGAGTCTGAGCCCAGCCTGGGCAATTTAGCGACTTAGTGCAACCTTTGCCAAAATTCTAAAAAGGGCTGAGGATGTAGCTCAGTGGGAAGGTCCTGGGTCCGATATTAATCTTCCCCTTTCTCACTCCAGCACTGCCACTTCCATGCTTTTCCTCCTCCACCCCAGCTCCAATTACACCTGCCTCTATCCACCCTTCAATGTACCCTGCTCAGCATCCTCCCCAGGCCCTTTCCACCTGCTGTTCTCATTGCAAACAACAATCTCACCTCCCCCCATAATGCTTACCCTCCTTTCAGTTTCATTCACTTTCTCTTCCTTAGCTCCCCCTCCCCGTGACACAGGCTGTGTGAACTCAAAGACTCCCTGCGTCTTCCCACACACCCCCCCATGTGATGGGCCGTGGAGTTATTTGGAATAAATTGCTGGCTTCCCCTCATCAGCTCCACCAGGACAGAAACACGGTTGTTTTGATCACTGAGGTTCTCATCCAGGGCATGCAGCCCGGGGCTGGAGAGGACAGGCTCTGGACAAGGAGAAGGCAGAGAGCCAGCCACCTGCTCCTGCACGGGTCTCACTCCGACCGAATCCCTCACTGCCTCCAAAGACAGACGTGCCTGTGACAGGTGGCCAGTGTGGACTTGTTGCGCTGAATCGCATCCTGGGTAACAAATATCACAACACGGAAAACAAAGCAATTCAATTACATTCAACTGACATTTCAGGAGCCAGGCTTTATAAGCTATGGCTGGTTGGTGAGGTAAAGTTTTAAATAGGCTCTCAGAATCCACCACCGGCCACAGATCTCCTCCCAAGCGGCGCCTGCGGAGGACGGTAAACTTCGCAAAGCCACCTGTCATTTTAAACCAGTGCCTTCAAATACATCACAGTTCCATCAGAGTGGAAATGACTTTTCATGAGCTTAGAGGACTGCTGGCCTGTGGAAAGCCCATATTTCATCTTCCAATGGGAGAGGAGCGGAAATGCAGTGGAGGAAGCGGAGAACAGCGGCGTCACCCTTACCCACTCAGAGGTTGCTGGGCCTGCAGGTGGCACCTGAGCTGCCCCCGTGCTGTGGGTGGGAAGCAGCAAGATGGCAGAGAGGGGCAGGGCAGGAAAACAGGCGGGAGAGGGGTGTCAGACCAAACTCCGAGGCGGCCTGGGCTGTCTGCAACTACTGTCTGCTTGGTTTAATGCCTTTGTTGTTCATACTGTGGATTGAACCCAGGGCCTTTGCACTGAACTACATCCCTAGCACTTTTTTTTCTTAAGACAGTTTGCTAAGTCGCTAAGTTGCCCAGGCTTGGCTCAAACATTCAGTCCCCCTGCCTCAGCCCCTCAGAGTGCTGGGACTACAGTGTGCGCCACCGTGCCCAGCTATTCTCTATTGTTTTTGAATGGTCTGCATTCTTAGTGGGTACCATTCCCCCAACGTATCCCACATGCAGAGAGAATAAAGGCTGCTCCCCACTCCGGAAGCTCACACAAAGTACTTTAGTTCAGAGACGGTGCTGGCTAAGGCTTCTGTTTCTACCGCCAGAGACAGAGTTGCCCTGTAGCGGAGATGGGGTGAGAAGGGCTTGGGACATCTGTTTGCTTAGGAAGTGATCAGAAGAGGAGGAGAAAAGGAGACCTGACAGCTTACCCACCACCTTCAGAGCCGTGCTGGCCTGGAGCTGGGCCTGTTTGGACCAGGGCAGAATTCCAACAGCATGAGATGCTCCTGGCAGCCAAGCCAGGAGACCCTGTGGCTGCTCTGTGTGGCTTGGTGTCCTGCCTCTTCTAGAGGCGTGGTACACAGCAGGCCATGGCCGCTGACTGGTGCACGCTAAAGACACATTCCCGGACAGTGCCCAGATGGGGCAGGGGCTCAGCAGGGACCCTGCCTAGGGGGCGACAAGATTCAGGTCAGGAAACCACTGCAGAAGAGACCGGGAAGAGACAGCATTCCCCCAGCTTTGACAGTTACCATGTTCTAGAAGGTACCACACAGCATCTAAATGACCTCTGTGGGAGGTGATGTACAGCACCACAAAGGCCCTCTGAGATGTCCACTGCCTCCACTTGTTGCCCTCAAGATGGCTGGAATTCGCAGTTCGGTAGAAAGAATCTTCAGTGATCCCGAGACAGGACAGCTGGGCAAAAGAATCACAGTGCATTTATTCCCGGGAGTGCAGGTTATTCTAGAAAGCAAGGTGGAAGAGGCTAGAGGCTGAGGGGGCTTGCTGGGGAGGGGGCCTGCGTGAGCTCACACCAAGTCTCAGTCTGTGGTGGGGGGGGGAGAGGCATAAACCCTAATGCTCAATGGAGAGATCGGTGAAGGACATGCCGGTTCCATCAGTCAGGCTGGGGAGGCAGAAGGGTGTTCCTGTCAATGTTTGGAAGAGAGAAAATGGCTCTGGTGGTGCCCAGGGGCAGGTCATGGTCCTTCATGGGGACATCAGCAGCCCCGGGGAGGAGGTCAGGAGGAAGGGGCGTCTTCCTGAGACAGTGGGGTCCAGCCTGATCTGTTTTTGTGGCCACTGTCCCTGTTGCCTTTTGGAATACTGCACTCACTCACAGATGAACTAAGCAAGGGAGGAAGGCTGTGGGATCCCACGAGGAGGAACTGTGCCCCGGATGTTGGGGTCCGGTGTGGGGCAGCGGGAAGAACTGAAGGGGTGCGGAGGCAGGAAAAAGGGGATGCAGTTCTGACTCGGGACACCGGACAGGAGGGAACACACCCCCCCCCCCCGCATGCAGAGCCAGAGCCAGAGCCAGAAAGCCAGAGGCCCAGGCTGAGCCACGGGTGGGAGAGGCGAGGAGGCCAGGGCACTGAGAGCGGGGCGAAACGGAGAAAAAGCAGGGAAGGAACCGGAGAGTAGAACGCGGGGCCAGGACCCCAGCCGCTCCTGCCAAGGCCTGCTGCTTGGGATCCCAGAGGAGCTGTGGAGACCTGGCCCCGCCTCCCCAGCCACCCACCCCCTTTTCCCAGGCCGAACCCCAGGAGCCTCTGGCACCTGGCTTCCCTGACATCCTCCCTGCATGCATACTCCTCTTCCCTACAGCACCGCTTCTCTAGAAAGCATGCTGGCCAGGGCCTGGTCAGTGACTCATCTTTCCTGATGGGTAAACATCCTGGTTTTTATCCCCCTCCGTGTCCCACCCCAGAGCCCACAGAGAGCCCAGCAGGAGACCTGCAAACAGCAGATGCCTGCTGCTGTCCCAGGCCCTCCACTCCCTGGGATGGGGCAGACTCCTGTGTCTGTCACACCCAAAGCCAAGCTCGAGCTGCACTTCTCCAAATTATCTGGGGTTCTGAGCATTAAATTAGATTTTCAACTTTTTAGACTAACCACAGGAATCGAAAATGGGCTCCCTTCACTCTTGGCGGGGGGGCGGGGGGTGAGGCGGTTTATAAACCATAAAGACACCCGGTAAACTCAGAAACCCGGAGGGAAAGGAGACACTTGGGGTGGGGCTTGACAATCCTAACAGGAACCCTTATCTTTTTTTTCCTGCTCTGAAGCCTTTACTCAAACATTCATAGCAGAGACTGATTTTCCCTCACAATTTATGGTTGCTTCATATAAAGTGCATTCAAAGAAGCATGAAAACACCTTACTGGGGTCTCCTTCCACTGCCGCCACAACCAGATCCATCCAACCATCATAGTGCCAGACACACAGAGAAAGAATACCCCCAGGCAGGATGTCCTGGGACTTTAGGGTGCTGTTGTCCAGTAAATCTCCTAAGGGGAACAAGTTTTCCTTTAACACAATTTGTGTATTACAGAAAAACTATTACATTGGTTATGAGATTATCTGACCTTTAATATCACAAAGGTAATTTTAGAATCTGGAACAAAAAAATCTTATTGTATGAGTCTGTTTGCCATCGTTAATGCTTTTTTAGAAAATTAATTTGGCTCAGCTCAAAGCTGGACCAAAAACAAAACAAAACAAAAAAACCAATGGCAACAATTTATAAAATTCTGTAATTATTAGCTTGTCCTGTTGTGAAAAAATACATGAGTCAGTAAAGTAATTTTCTGAGGTAAATTCTACAAATAGAACTACTTAAACTTGAAGTAACTATATAGTATGGACAAAGCACAATGTACTTACACAAGTTATATTGGTTCAACTAAAATCCCAACTCTGCTAAATGCTGCCATTAGCTGACCAAAGAGGTGACAGTGACCCCCCCAAAAATGGCCGGATAATTCAAATGATAGCCTATGGCAGTGTTTGTCAAGCGTGGCACTAGTGACATTTTGGACTAAATAATTCTGTGTCACCCCGCAAGACATTCCCCAGCTTCTCTGGCCTCTACACAGGGGAAGCCAACAGCACCTACTTGCAATTCTTACAGTCAAAATGGCTCCAGACATTGCCAATGGCCCCTGGAGGACAAGATGGTCGCAAAGCAGACCTACGGGGATGCAAGAAGTCACGGTTGACATTCTCCACCCCTGGATGTGGAGGGCCAGAGCTCCCGCGCCCGCCAGCGCCCAGCACGGTACAGCATTCTTGTGCGGGAGCAGGCTGAGTTTCCTCATACGTCCAGCACCCAGATTCTGGGGAAGACTGTCAAAAGCAGTGGAAGAGAATTATACAAGGAACATTTTAAGAAAGGGCACTTGTACCTAGCTTACCTTTGCTGGCACATACTCATTTTGGGGCACGGCCACCTGCAATCTTAAAGAGAACAATAGAATGTGCGTTTCTCGTAAGCAGTGGCAAACAAGAAACCTCAGATCTGCCCCGGCCGAATCACCATACGTTCTGCGGGGCGGAAGTCGTGAGTGTTCTCCTGACGATGGAAAGATTGCACTAGGCCTATGCACAAAGTACTCTAGTAATGACTGTGCTTGCGCTGAGCGAGGCATCCCTTCATCCCCAAGACAACCTCCCAAGGCCCGCGCACAGGGCCCGCCCAGCCGCTCCGGCTGACACGCCCCCTTCGGCACCACACGCTGTGCCCGGCTGTCCTGGCAGCATCTGGGTAGCTGAACCTCAGGAGGGTGGATGTAAACAGGATGCGGAATAGCAAATCTGTTCACAGGGTCCTATCTGTGGTTTGAAAGCAGGAGATAATCAGTAATTGGTCTAAAACAACTTGACTTCCTAACAACTGAAAATGCTGAGGGAAAGCTGGGTTTTCCTGAGGAACACAGCCAGGAAAGGCGGGTGCGCCCCTGGGAAGTTAGCGCACATCCGAGTTACAGATATGCAGCCTCTGCCTTGGGCCCAAGGACTCCTTATTGGCAGCTACATAAATGGTGGGAGTGGAGGGCGACCCTCACCCCCCTTAGATTTGTGCCTGGAAGGCTCACACACATCTCATTCGATCTTCCCTCTGCAACCTCTGAGGTGGCCAAAAGAGGTGTCAGCCGAATATTTACACAGTCCCGCCCAAATTTCTCCTCAGGACAAAATAGTACCTTTTCTCTCACCTGCCCGACACACACAGGAAAGGCTGCATAGCAGAGGTCGAGCTTCTAGCAGTTGCTAAGTGACTGCTAAGTGATAGCCTTGTGACATCAGTGCTCCATCACCCCATCTTTCTCTCCCTCTTAGCTTCCTTGAATTTATTGCTCAGCATAGGTCATCAGTGAAAATAAATGAACAGAAGGGGTCCAGACATTTATAGTTGGGGATACATAATTTTCAAATGGCTTGTTCAGGAATTCTTAGTCCTTAATGACTCACCTCATCCCTAACATGTTAAATACAAACTAGACTCAAGACACACTTCTTAATAAAGAAAGCCTCCAAAATGCCCAAGAGCCTCTTTTGAATACTCCTGTAGGAAAAGAAATGTCAGGAAAAATATTCGGCCTACTTGAAAGAGTGCAAAGAAAGGAGTTTTAGCATCCCCTGCCCATGTGGAGTTTCCTGAGTCAGGAATGACTCAGGAGGGAATGACCAGGAGGCTTCTAGTGGTGATGGGGCTCTGCTTCATGGACAGAAAACGGAGCCCAGGCAGGGCAGCGCCCCGGAGCTGGTGAGACAGGCTGCTTCCCGAGCTCTGTCTCTATCACTGCCTGGTCCCTGCACTACGTGCGCAGTCTCTCTGCAAGGCTGGGTGTTCGCATTCCGTGGAGCAGCCCAGAGATTTTTTTAAAATCTCTTTATTGTCTTTTGCATTGATTTCAACCAAGTGGGGAGATGATGGAGCCCAGGGGCTTTGATCCTCTTCTCATATCCTAAATGTCACAGCAAATTGGGGCAGGGAAAGCCACAGCCTCAGGGTGAGGGAAGGACACTGAGGGAGGGAGAAGAGGGAAGTTAGGGCCCTGGCCTCCCCTGGGCATCTCCCACATGAGATTTGCCTGGATAGGGGCCTTGGGGTCCCGATTTAGTGATGGCGAGCCACGGGTACTGGGCTCCAACTCAGTTAGGATAGCTCTGAGCTCCTGAGCAAGGACACATCTTAGAATTCTGGGTTCTGATATAAACTGGGCTCCTGCCAACATTGGGGATTCAGGGCTCTTCTTAAGGACAGAACTCACTCTGGACTTGGGGTTCTGATGGGAGCAAGGTTTGCTGCCTGTTTGGGGGTCCTGGTTTGGGAAGGGTCTGTTCTGGGATTTGGAGTTCTCGTATGGCCAGAACGTTTTTGGACTCAGGGTTCTCAGAGGCCTGGGTAGCACAGCCACTGAAGGCAGGGATCTGGCAAATCTGCCTTGAGATTTGGAGTCCTCACAGTGATAGAATCTGCTCCAAGATTTGGGAGTCCTGATATAGGTGGGGTTTGGTCTAGAATTTCAGATTCTGGTGTGGGTATGTTCTGGCTAAAAGATTTGAGTTCCAAATACAAAGTTTGCTTTGAGTTCTGGGGTCCTGGCATGGGCCAAATCCTCGTTTTGAACCTTGACTTTCTTAATGGACATGATTGACTCAGTCATGGAATGTTAATGTAGACTGGTTTCCGTGGAGATTAGGGGTTCAGATATGGACAGGTTTGACTGAGTTTTGGGGTCCAGAGGGAGGGTTTGTTGTAAGATTTGATATCCTTACGTGGATTTGGTTCCTGGAGGATTCAGGGTTGTCAGGTAGAAGTGGGTTAGCCTGGAAATTTGGGGTTTGGTCTTGGGCGGGCTTGTTCCAGGTTTGGGGGTCCAGGTTTTGGGGAGTTGTGGCACCCTTGCATGGGCACAGATGGTTAGAGAAACCGGGTTTCTGTTGTCCACAAGCCCAGCACGGCCAGTTGGAGTCTGACAGGCTGGAGGAATTATGCACAGAAACTGGCACAGAGGGCTGTGAAGTCCGGCTTCAGGGTTCTGACTGGGCCAGGTCAGCCCTGGGTGTTAGGGTCCCACTGAGGACAGAGTTTGGTTCCAGTTTACAGTCTTACGTAAGCCTAGCTGGTTTGGGGATTTGGGTCCTTCAGGAAGGGATGGGGAACTTGAAGGCCGGTGGGGTGTCCTACTGTGGCTTTGAGATCTGGTGTTCTAGTATGAACAAGATTTGTGCCAAGCTGGTAGATGTCACCTAGTACAGAAAGGGTCTGCCTGCGGACCCAGGTCCTGCCCTGGACAAGGCTTGCTCTGAGATTCGGGGTCTAACGCAAACCCAGGGAGTCTGGGCTCTGGAAGTCCCTGTGTGGCCACAACCCTGATAGCTCTTCCACCTGGGCTTTCAAGGTGGCTGGAGTTTGCTTTGCCATCTGGGGTCCTCCCACAGAGGCAGGTCTAAGTGGTTTGCGGGAGCGCTCGCGAGGCGGGAACGGGTCGGGCACACCTTGGTCCAGGTATTGGAGGCGCTGGAGGTTGAAGGGGATGCCGGCCGCCAGGTCCAGGTCCTCTTTGAGTTCCCGCACGGTGATGTCGCTGAGGCAGTTCGCCAGTCGGAACATATCCCCGGTCTCCTCCAGCCTCATCCGCACGGAGAGGACGACGGGGACCAGGTCAGGCACGGCCTCCGGGGCGATGGCCAGCGGCTGGGTCCGCCCGCGTGCCCGGAGGCCTTCAAGGAGGGCGGCTGCACGGCCCGGGACACCCGTCCGCCCGCAGCCAGCTCGAGGGCACCGCCCACCCCTGCCACCCGCTGCATGGTCCGGGCATCATCCGCAGCTCAAGTGCGGTGGCCGCGCCTCATCGCCGCCCGCGCCCGGCCCGACTGTGACGCTCGGACCCGCGGGCCACCTCCGCACGCTCCAAGAGGTCCCCGCGCCTCCCCCACCATAGGTCCACCCCCGCGAGCGGCTGAACCCCAGCGAGGACAGGACGAGAACGAGTGTAGCCCGGGCGCACTGACGGTTTCCTGCCCGTGCCTGGGCCGCGCTGCGGAGGACAAAGGCCCGGCTGAGCGCGGGGCGGTTGAGCGAGGCAGACGCCTGGCGCTTGTTTCGGACCGAGCAGAGGACAGGGACAGCAGAGCCCGTGGCCGCTCCAACCCACGCCCGGCCCGGCCCAGCCCCTCTGCCCCCGCAGCTTGCAGCTTGCAGCGAGTTTGCTGCTGTGGGAAACCTGTTACCTCTTTTCCCCGTCTGTTTAAAATATAACCTTTGCACAGTTTAGGGCAAACCAGCTGGAGGAATTCTGCTCAAGATACTAAGTCGTGCGTAGTACAGAGGGCTGTTCTTATGAATGGTTCCAGCCCGAAGGGAAAAACCAACAGCGCAGAAACGAGATTCCTTCGCAGATCCGCTGGCACCAGGCGGCGATGAGCCTCCGTTCACATCTGCAAGCAGTATCAAACCCATCAGCTTAGAGAGGCGGGAGCGACCCTGGGGCGCCCTCGAGGCGTGAGCCCCTCCAGAAGGGAAGCTCACTTGCCAGGCTCCAGTTAGGGCAATTCCTGCAGGGGACCTGCACACCATGGGACTACACAGAGGGAGAGGCGAAGGGCGCAGGGAAGGGGGTGGGGAGCCGATCTTCAAATAATTTCCCGTTGTTACAGAACAAGAATAAAATGTAAGCCTTAAAAATACCTTTTTTGCAAAGAAGTAACAGCTCTTAAAAACAAAAGTGCATTGGAAAGGCATTCGTATTAAATGATAGGCAATCTTAACAGATAAACTGAAATCCAAAGGACTATTTACCAGAGTGTCAGGCACTGCGATTCGGCGTGCAAATGCTACATCGCACAACACAAGCTGAAGCTCGTTTTTTTTCTTTATTGGAACATTAAGCTCTGAATAAAACAAGATTCCAGTTGAATAATTCTACCTGCTGCTAAATCAAAACATGACAATCTCACTTTCTCGACCAAAACAAAACAAAAAAACCCCTAAAAATAGCTTGTTACCAAGACAAAGCTACCCAGCTATTTACATAGGCAAGTTATTAAACACAAGATGGATTGTCTTTTCTTTTTAGTATGTCAACTCTAATTTTAATGAACTTTTGCCAGAGGTGCTGATGCTACCCTGGCTTACAGTCTGAAATTCTCACACACACACCTTATTTTCTTTGGCAGTTTAGATCCCTTCCTTTCTTTTTTAAAGAATCAGTTCAGTGAAATTCAGGGGTTGGAGAAGGAATGGTCTTGTGTACCAGGAAATTCAATACAGAGTTTCAGAAATTTTATTTTAAAAAAGAAAAGACATACAAGAAAATGATCAAAGAGAACCCAGAAATGGCTCACATGTCGCCTGCTGCCAGTTCTTGATCTCCAACCAGCTGCTCCTCCTTTGTTCCCTGTGCTACCTTTCAGAAGATAAAAGTAGAAACAAGAAAAATAACAGCAGCATATGTGATACAGAATTGAATCAAATGTTATGGAACCTTGAATTATTAGTTAATGAATAACCAGTGTAAATTCCAGAGCATCTTTCTCTAAGTGTAAATTTTTAAAACACAAAACCTCAGTCTGTATCTAAAGTCAACTTGAGGAGCATGTAATTTACCCCTCTCCCCTGCACCACTGGGATTTGTTGAGCAAGTTCTGATCAGAACTATGGTTTATTTTTTTGTTAAAAAAGATTTAAAGTCAATATCCATGCATCCCAGTTACCAGTTTCCCTCCTGAGTTCTTAAACATATGACAATATATCCACATAAAAAATGAACAATCTTTCAGCTCTCTGCCTCTTTCTAAGGCCAATCTACTTCTTTATGGAGATGGGAGGGGTGAGTATATGAGTAACCAGTCCAAGTACAGTTGATAACAAAAGTACAATATTAGAAAGATAGCCGTAAATCACTCTTTAGATTTATCACATTGTTTAAAAGTAAACAAACTGGGTTATATTTGCAGCAACTCAAAGTGGAGCATACATTTACATGATGTATTTGTTCAGCTCACTGGTAGGAGGCTAATATTACATTAATATATTTTCTTCCTGTCAAGTTATTTACATATATACAGTATTTCAGTTAAAAATAAAATATAATATCATAAACTATATTTTATAAGAAAGCCTAAGGGAAGTAAATATGCAAGTCTATTAAAGACTCAAGTGCTCCTAATAAACTACTTGATTGGGCAAAGGGACATCAATAACGTGGTCTGCGGCCTGATGGCACGGAGGCCTGAGGGGTGGGCAGCACAGAACAGCACCAGCCTAGCCTCCGAGGTCAGTCCCGCTGGGGCTCTGGTCAGTTCCCCTGCAAGTCCCGAGCCACATGTGCCGGGCATGAAACCACCATGCTGCAATCACTGAGGAGCTAACTCTGCTTTCCCAGAACAGTAGTGTCCATAACACTCTGCCGCTTTGGTTCTAAAGTGGCAAAAAAGGAAACATCTTGGTCCCGGTCAGACTGCAAAGCCAAGACAGTCTCTTCAACAACTTCAAGATGAGGGTTACCAGCATTTCTAAAATATGCTAAGGAAAGAAAACAGGAGTGTGAATTACTTGTGCCATGAACTGTGTTCTAAAACATACCCTAGTTTTGTTTTGTTTTTTAAACTGCACGTCAGGAGAGTAAATCATTTTTGATAGAACAGTCATACATAAATCCTTTCAAATGATAAAATGCCTTAATCAAAGTCTTCCTGAACTCCCAATGGCTATGCATATTTTTAAAAGTACAGTAATTGGTTGGGTGTGGTGTTGCACGCCTATAATCCTACTTGAGAGGCTGAAGCAGGAGGATCGCTGAGAGTTCGAAGTCACTCTGTCTCCAAAAAAACCAAAAAAATGTACAGTAACTAAAAATTGTTACTATCTTGTTTTCCCCTAAAACCAAAGATAATGTATGGAATGTATGGAAGGCAATGTATGGAATACAGGAGGAAGAACAGATTGTTGGCAAGGGCTAAAATGGCAAGAAATGTACAAGCAGGGAAGAGCTTAAATTGTGTCCTATATTGTGACATAGCTATAATCCATCCATAGAACACAGCTTACATTAAGTCTTGTTCAGGTTTAAAATGACCGACTAGGTTGGGTTATAAATGTCTTCTTACCAACTACAAAATAATATCATTACACTTTTTGGCCCAGGAGGTTGAAGGGAGGATCTGGCATACTTTTTAGTAGGTTCCTGGCAGGCCTCACCAGTGGGTCCAAGAATCCGGACCAGGGTGGACCTGGGCCCCCTGAAGTTTGTCTACAGCATATGTGCAGGTCAGTAGCCTGGAGTTTCAAGTGCAGGATGAACACTGCCTGTACAAGCCGTTGAAGCTGGGGTGCTGTCGTGCTGGTATTTCAGCTGACACCAGTTGTCACTATAGTTACCACAGGAAAGTGCCTCTAAAGAGGTGAGACATTCTTAAGTGTACTTGGTGTGGTTAAAAACAGTGAATGTGGTTGGATGCCATTTGGCCATCTAACAAAAAGGCAGGGATCTTCATTAGAAGAGCACATTGAACCTCAGTAACTGTGTGTGACAAGTTTCAACTTGCCTGGGGCAGTCAGTCTGAGCCACAGTTGAGAGGAGTGGTTTTAAAATTCCATAAATGATGGATCATGCAGTGCATTAACATGAGATTTTTGTTTCAAACTGCAAAAAAGTGCTAAAGAAACACATCAAATATTAAAATTAGTGTATGGTGATGCTGCAGTGACCAGAAACACTGTTTACAAGTGGTTTGAGCAATTTTGTAAGGGTTGTGAATCTGTTAACAACAGAGAAGAGATCCAGACGTCCTCCAACATCAAAACCCCGAGAGAATATTGAAAGAGTGAGCAAAATGATTTGATCAAACAAGAGATGGATGATTAGGAAAATTTCTGAGGATCTGAATATTTCTTATGGTACTGTACAAAGCATTTTAACGACAGACTGGAACATGAGGCGAGTGAGTCTAAAATGTATCCACACATAGCCACAGGAGTTAGAGCAGTAAGGCAGTGCTGGTGGTGATGGGCAATGTTTCCCTGTCATTTAACTTACTGCCTCTTGTGAGGTAGGTGCTATTCTCCCATGTTAGAGATAAATGGTTAGGAGGGAACGCGGGTTCCCACTACCTATGAGTAGCTCTGAACAAGGAGCCTCACGTATGTGACTTGTGGGTGAGTAATGTGATGCCTTGAGATTTGATGTCTCTGTATAACATAAACATTTATTTAAGCATATTAGTCAGTTTGTGGGGAGCAAAACCACACAGCTGTTAAGAATATAAGCACTTCATAATTTTTTTTTGGTATTGGGGATCGAACTCAGGATCTTGCACTTGCAAGGCAGGCATGATGCCACTGAGCTAAAGCCCTGGCCCAGCCCTTCATAATATTTTAATTGCATTAACCTAGTTTCCCAAAATTTGTACCAAAAGGAGCATCTGTCAGCATGTTAACTTTTAAAATGTAGGTGGTATAATAAGGTGTAAAAAGGAGCTAAAGGACATACTAGGTTAGGACATGGAAGTATCAGAGGTGATCGTTCTCATGTGGGAAGAAATGAAAGTCTGGCAAGATGCTCAGAGCCCACACAAGTTCATTCCTTGTACTGTCTGCATGTCTAGCAAGTTGAGGTTTTTTTTTCATTATCTTGTATGCCAATTTCATGTAACTCATTTTCCAGAAATTTTATATTAAAAAAAATCATTATAATTTAATGGCAGCTAAGGCTTAAGCTTGTTAACTTTCATAATCTTTCAATCATAACTCAAAACTTACAAGTTTCACCATGCAAGGAGGCACACTCTTATAATCCTAGCACTTAGGGAGGCTAACACAGGAGGACTGCAAGTTCAAGTCCACCCTGGGCAACATAGCAAGAGCCAATCCCCCCCTCAAAAAAAGTTGAGAATGTAGCTTAGTGTGAAGGCCTTGCATTTCCAGTACTGCAAAAACAACAATGAAAGAATTTACAAGTTTCCCTCCTTTCCAGAATCCTCTAAAGACTGAATGCCATTTGTTTCCTTAGTCATTTTACAAATACTATTACACATAGAAGTTAGCATATTAATTTCCATAACACATCAGACAACTTTTCCCAATCCCCTAGAGGAGCTCTCGCCGCTGCTGGAGTTTACTGAGAATGTGTACCCTTTGCCATCAAGGTCTGCCGCAGAGCCTTGGCCAGCAGAACCCTCACGTTGGGCACAGGATCTGACTTGAGGCTCAAGAGGTTGGGAAGCAGGTGCTCAACAAACTGGTCCACTGGGACACACTCCTCACTCACCACGGCCTGCAGCAACAAAGAGACAGCCAAATGAGACAGCACTTGCCAAGTATGCTAAAAACAAATACTCCTGTCATTCCAAAGCAGTCTTTTCAGAATAGATAGGTTCGAGGGGTACGTGTCTGTGAACCTTTTAAGTCTCAAGCACTGAACCTGGTTATGTTTCTTATTATAATTCACCCCCAGGTGCTGGTTTATGAGTAGTATAAGAACTGGAAAGAAAAGCATAGGCTTTGGGGTCAGACCTGACCTACCCAGGCTGAAAACCTAACCTGGTCACTGACTAGCTCTGCACGGCCTTGGGTAAGTGGCTCACCCTTTCTATGCCTCAGTTTCTTCAAATGTACAATGGCAGGTCCTTTACGAAAAGCAGGTCCGGCACAATGCTGCCACACTGCATTCAGCTGGCCAAGAGGGGTTCGCAATCTCACCTCTGCACTCACCTGGATGCAGGCTCTGTGGGTAGGGGCCTGGCTATCCATACCCAGATGCCCAGAGCTCAATAAGCAGCTGATAAACACTGCACATTCCAACATCTGCATACCACTTCTCCACTTACAAAGAGTTTTATGTACACTGCCTCACTTAACTCTCACAACTAGCCTTAGTGATTGAAATTAGCCTGTTCTATAGGTCAGAAAATTCTAGTCCAATGTGGTAGTGACATCCAATGGTCTCATGACCAACAGGTGGCAGCAGAGTGGGGATCAGAGCCAGGCACATGTGTTCTGGGTCTGCAGGGCAGATCGTGCCCTGGGTGGTGGCTCAGAAGCCACAGTGCTGACAGCCACCAAGTTCCTGCTGGGTCCCAGGCACTGTTTCAGGAACACAAGCCTGGGTGGGCGGGCGCTGGGGCTGACCTCCACTCCAGGATGGGCATGTACTACCGCCCCTGCTGCTCTGTGAGGAGGGAGTGGAAGTGGGTTCAAGTCAGGTGGGTCTGACTCCAAATGGGCCCCTGTACCCTTTTTATGACCTCTACCTAGATCTGTGTTCAAATGGTGATCAACAAGGCCCCTCAGTGGTATTCTTGGCTGTTGGGTAACCTTTACTTCGCTTTGTGCTTTTGTGGGTTTTCTAGATCTTTAATAATTTATTAATGAGAACAAAAAAAGAAGACCCCATTGATTTTCCTTGAAAAAAATGAGTTGATGTCATTTCCTTTTGTTTTTACAGATTTTAAAAATCTCAAAGAATGAAAAAATAAAAGCACAAATATTTCATTTATGCTTTTGCTGGAAATGATTTGGAACCCTGGCCTTTCTTCACAAAAGGCCGTGTTGCCGAGCCTGTGGTCTCAGAGCCGGCATTTCTCCAAGACATGGCCACAGGCCCCCGGGTGCTGCTCCAGCTCAACAGAGCGCTCATGGGTCCTTTGGTTGGTGTTAGGAGGGGCAAGAAGGGAGATTTGGAGCCTGGGGTCAGACGCGTCCACCCCTGGCCTTACTGTATGATCAGCATGACTGGATATGCACTACACCATTCCCTTCACCTCTGAATGTGCTGGAAAATGTGTGTGATGAAAAATTAAGAAAGTTTAAAATAACTTCAGCAGGAAAAAAATTATTATTTTAGGCTTTAGACTTCCTGTGTGATCCTAAACAAGCCACTTAACCTCTCTGGGCTTCAAATGCTTCATCTAAAACAACAGTCTAAATGTAAATGAGTATACCTCGCCTAATACACAGGAGCTCCTATAGAGGATCAGATGCCAGGACCCTGGATGCTTGGCAGCCACCATCACTGCCAATGTCCTCAGCCAAACAAGTCCTTCATTTCCAAGACGGTCAGTAGAGAGGGTGATCTGAGTAGCTGGGTAAGCTGGCATGAACTAAGGTTAAATGCCCCCCAACACACACCCTGCAAGGCTGCTGGCTGGTGAGGTACAAGAGTGGACAGGCCTGGAATGGACATGACAGGGCTGACTGTGGGCTGGACAGCAGGCTCGGGAGAGCTGCTGTTCACACTGCCATCTGTAGACAGAGGATGCCCAGGGCACTGTAGGTGCTTAGTCACTGTCTGTGCCAGCCCCGGGCATGGCCCTTCACTTCACTGGCACACTCCCCTGCGGGAGAAGAGGGCTAGGAAACCCGGTCCCCACGGCCCCAGCTAGTACCCAAGGCTTAGGGTTCTTTGGTGAAGACGTATCATACGGCAAACACACCCACAGAGTAGATTCTCCCCTGGCCGTGCTAACCTGACAAATGAAAGCGAAAGCTTGCCTTCCAACCCACTTTGAGCAGTGCCGGAACCTTAGGATGAGTTCATTGATGAAATTCAACCCCAGTGCACTTTCGCTGTTTGAATAGAACTTCTGCAGAATTGCCACAACCTGTGAAAAATATCAGAAAAGCCATTTAAAACACTGCCATCCTTGTGAACTATAACCACATGAGAACTAGACAACTGTATGCACCCTTCTATCTTTAAAATAAATTGAAAAGCATGAGAGAAAGTGATTTTTCCACAGTAATCATTAGAACACAGAGAAAAATATGTTTAAATATATGGGAGTTCACATAAAACCCTTCATAAAAAATTAAATTATCCCAGGTACTGGCATTAGCAAAATATATTATTAAGCTAACCTTCCAAGTTTTAGAACATGTTCCTTTACATAACTAAATCATCATGTCATTTTTATAAATTTTAATACTATCAAAGTATCTTAAAATCAATATTTTCAAATGAGATGTTCTTTGTCAGTATTCAGCCAGTATAAACCCACATAAAACAGGATCAGCTCTTCTGTACTGGAGTTTCTGCTCACTAAACACTGCTACAAAACCAAGCTGTAGAGTATTTTTAAAAAACACTATGTAATTATTTAAAGGGTTTCATATATAAAATGATTCATCTCTAATTTCCATCCCTGAAGCATTCAACTTTGAACAAAGAACCTGCCCTCCAATTCGACACAATACAGTTAATTTTAAAATTCAAAAACCCATTTAATAAGTGAACTGAAAAACTAAGTCTAGGAAAAAAATGAGTTAAAATAGGAGATCCATAAATATTCCTATTTACGAATTCCACAGACAGAAAAGGCAGTGATTCCTTACTAGTTTGAAGGAGATCCACCGAACTTCAGAAACTTTATCTGCACATAATCTCAAGGCAATATGCATTAAATAATCATAAACATCATTGGGGTTATAGAGTTCCAAAATTAGTATCAGCTGTCTGGAAGGAAAAACAAAATTATTTTTGGTCCAAAAAGTATCTTAGTGATTTCTCTTTACTCTCATTTCCTCTTCTAGATAAAAACAGCCAGGCTGGGAAATAAAACTGCAATGAAGACCTGGCAGGACTTCGGGCAGAAAGATGCCAACAGCAAGGAAACTAAGTGAACCGGCCATGTGAAGAAATATGAAAAAAAATTAATTCATCATATATGCACACCAACAAAAAGGCAATAAATTAGACTTTGTAAAATTGAGGCTGAGAAATTTATGAACACAGATTTAATATTTCAATTTTAGGTTATCAGTTAAATAACACATGAAACTTTAAAAATCAGATAACGTAAAAGAGCCCAAATGCTGAAGTTCCCAAAGATCAACAGATGAAGGGAACACTCGCAGGGCTCCCGGGCCGTCTGGCCGCTCCTGCGGCGGCTGGGGAGGCGGAACGCGCCGCGATCCTGGCCGCTGCGGGCTCCCGCCGCTCGGCTTCGTGCGACCGCTGGTCCGCTTGCAGAGAACCGAGCGAGCGGAGCGTGTGCTCTTTCTCCGGCAGACAAAAGGGAAAAACGCGTTGTGACAGCTAGCCGAGCAAACCCACTACCAATGCTCTCACTATTTTCTAAATGGGGCTGGGGGAGAAGGGTAGGAAAATAAATGGCATTATTTTCACCCAGGCAACCAAAGGAAATGAAAAAGAGATGCGGAGGGAGTTACAGCCAGAAGGCAGGAGTGCCAGCGAATACTTTCATATCAAAATGCACTGTTTTCAGAAAAATGATACCAATATCATGGGCACGGGAGCACAGAATCCTTATCAGCCGCTCGGGCTTCAATAAGCACTCAATAAGCACGAGATGGAAGATAGGAGCGCTTGCCGAGAGATAACGGATCCCCGGGACGGAGCCCACCCATCTCCCGGGAAACCGGTCGGCCTAGCCCAGCCGGCCAGGAGGGCTCCCGCGGGCGGCCGCCAGAGGTCGCAATGCAGTCATGGAAAACCTGGGCCTGTTTTTCTTCATTTTTTTGGAAGAGTATGCCTGGAACATAGCATAATGACTAAACCTCAATCTCTCAAATTAAGCATAATGATTAAAGCTCACAGCAAAGAGAAAAATCTTCCAGCGTGCCCCTGGCATCAGCCAAATCATATCCTGAATAGCTGCAAAGGGCTGATGAATTTCTTTGGGGAAGACAATTATTTGAGAGATTTCTAGTTGTGGATAAGAAAAATGGAATGATACCGAAATCAATCTCAACAAGGCGGAAACTAAAACCCCAACAACCACCAGCACAAACAAATCCACTCCTTATAATGAAAAGCACATGATACACCTTGGGAAGGGGAGTTATGCTACATGATAGTGTCACTCTTTCATAATCACCAGGACCTGGAACATTCCTTTTGCTGGCACAAGATGGAGTTGAATAACTCCTTCCCACACGAAATGAGGTACAGATATGAGGCACCTTGGGTGACATTTTTATTTAATAATCGTCTCGTCTGGGTGAGACCTTTTCAGATCTCTCACTGTCAACCAATTTTCTTTAGAAGCTGAAGTACATAAAACACGGTGTACCCTACAGAGAGGGTTGCGCTCAGAATGTTCAAGAAAGCTTTGCAAAACTGCTCCGATTAACAGAAAAATACTGAAGAGTGGGTGATTCATCTTTTATTTGGTTCAAATAAATTGCCTTATAGAACAGCAGAACACTCTAATTCCAGAGTGACTCCAGCCCTGTCTTCATGTGAAAATGAAATGTCTCCCCGGAGACTTTGGAATTCATTGTATATCTTAATAAAACATAATCTCTTTATCTAAAAGAACATTATTACTGCTGGTTTAGAAATCAATTATAAGGTAGGAAAATTCAGAATTATTTCTTCTGATCTGCCTTTTCATAACCCCAAATAGGTTTTTACTTACTCTGCTAGTTCATATCGAAACCTCCAATTTCTGTTATCGGTCACTACAAATTCTTGAAGCTGATAAAGATATTCTCTCCTCTTGTCTTCATGAAGCAACTGTTTTAAAAAATGTATATATATTAGTAAAAATATATCCCTCCAAATGACCCCAGTGCCCCTCTTTACTTTGCTTCGGATTATACATTTATCATTAGCAGAACTCTGCATGGTCTTCATCCCTTGCAGTCTATGGCCCAGTGGGGCTGTAAGCTAACAACTGCTGCTAACAGACATCAAATGCGCCCTGCACGCTCCAGCCCTTCTGCTGGTGGGTGTGTGTACTCGAGTATTCCTACACACACACCCCGGGACTTCCTCCTTTCATAGCCTCCCTGAGAAGCAGCACACGGTGTGTTCAGGGGATAATGTACTGCTGCTGCTCGGCTGTGATGGCGACTGCACAGGAAGGGAGTCTGCACCATAGTCTCTCGAGGGCAGCTCTGGGTCATGTGGGTGCAAGTAATTAGTACCTCCAGGTCATTTCTAAACTCTTATTTTCACATTCATCATTCTTTAAGGACAAGAGAAAAGAAAGAAAATGCAAGAAGGGAAGCTGCAACATCCTGCAGAAAAATTCCTTCCTGCAGAACCCAGACTAGCCGCCAGCCCAGGCTCTTCCCCGGGTGACCTCTGGGCAGTCAGGTGACTGCCGGGGCAAGGAGTGTGGTGGGTGATGTTCTACTGCCCTCTATAGAGCTGCAGCTCCTAAAGGACAGGAGGGGTAGGAGGAAAGATAGAAAATGTATTTCCTGTCGATCAAAGAACACCCACTTTAAGATACTAGATGATGCATTTCAACTGAAGAAATCCAGACAACTGCCATTTTTTTTTCATTGATACTATACATATCCAGAGTCTAATAAAACTGGCTGGAAAAGGAGGGGTTTTCTGGTTTGCTTCAACCCTTCTTCCTACCTTTAGGAAATCATACAGATGTTTAAGTACTCCTATGCGTACTTCGTCCAGATCCTTTAAAAATCCATTGAAGATGGGCACCAGGTCGGCTGCTGTCAACTGATCCCCAAGAATCGCAGCCAGCTCGTGAATAGAGAAGGCGAGGGTCCGACGGACCTTCCACTAGGGGTGCACAGCAGACACACAAATCACAACAAGCAAGTGCAAGTCAACATGTCTCACCTCTTCCATGGCATTTCTGGAGCAAAATGGATGCTGCCAGGTGTTGGCCACTTAAAGCTATATTTCATCAGAGGCCAGTAAATGTGCCAATCTGCATCCACATGAAACTCAGGCCAACAAGCCTTACTGCAGTAGCTTCCCTTTACCTCCCGATAAGATGACTGCGTTTTTATTCTCGTGCCTCTGAAATGGTTGTTTCTACCTGAACATCAGAAGCCAGTGTTTCGTAGGTGCCTTTCAGACAGTGCCAGTTCTGCCTCCCCAGGGCCAGTGCCACCCCGGGGAGGCTGTAGGCACACTGTTTGGCTATGTCAGTGTCCACGGTCTGGGCTCGAGCAGGGTCTGTCATTGACATGAACTCATCCAGCAATGGCTGAGGAATTATATCCTAGGAAACAGGAGAGGAAGGAAACCATCAGGTTTGTAGGAAATAAGGTCAAAGAGAACAGTCAGCTCATGAAAAACAAGGAATATGGAATTCCAAGGTGAAAACAGCATAGCAGAAATATGAGAGGAGCAAGAAGCCCTACCTAAGCCAAAAAGCTTTGGGCTAATGAGCTTATTTTATCCAGGGAGTGAGGTTTCAGTCCTAATGGAAGCTGCGGCAATCCCTACTTTCATCTTTTCTATTACATCTGGCATCACTGACAACCATCTAGGCCAGTGATGGTGAGTATGGCATGTGTGCCGCAGTGGGCTGCTGGCATCAATGAAAGCTCCAAAAGGTTCGCCATCACTGGCTTAGACAGTCCAGTCTGCTCAGTGCTCACCCAGCCATGAGTGTGTGGAGTGTGGAGATGCCCAAGACCTCTTCTCAGGCCATTGCTGTTTTTCCAGCTGATGGCATGCCTCCTTCCTAAAACCTTACTTTACTCATGTTTATCTCTGTGAAAACAATGCATCATGATAATTAAGATCATTTAAGGGAAATTACTCAGCAGAAGAAGCCCATTCATAAGATAGAACAAAATCAAAAACAGTTCAACAAAAGCAGCTCTCAACCTCCTAGACCAAAAAAAAGGGCAAGTGATTCATACACAGACTCTAAACATGAAGGTTAGATGTCAAAGTTCTTTTCTTATATTGCTTAGTTTTATTAAAATAGTACACAAGATTGTTCAGAGGACTTTAAACAGTACTTGAGGGGGCCGGGGATTTAGCTCAGTGGTTTCGTCGCCTGCTGTGCAAACACAAGGACCTGAGTTTGATCCCCAGTACCAAAAAAAAATATTTTTAATTTAAAAAATTAAACAGTACTTGAGGATTCATTTTTTTAAGTTAGAGAGGAAACATTAGTAACATGGATTGTGAACTAAGATATATAATTAACAGTGACAGAAAAATATTGGCTTTGAATAACTTTTTTTTGCAATACCGTGACTTGAACCTGATGCCTTCACATTGAGCTATATCTACATCTCCAGCCTTTTTCTCTGAGACAGGCTTTTGCTAAGTCACTGTCCAGTATAAGCTTAGACTTGTGATCCCCCTGCTTCAGCCTTCCAGAGTGCAGGGATTACAGGTATATGCCACTGGACCCAGCTTCAATGGCCATTCTTAAACTTAACTTTCAGAAAATATAGAGGTTTGAGTTGCTTTTTTTCTTTTCTTCCACCACCCCCTCCCCCACAAGGAACAAACCTGTAAATTAGATTTATTCTCCTCAAGTGTGGTTGGTTCAGGCTTCTGCTGAGTCTCCCAATGGTCACTGGCTCCATTTTGGACATCACCAGGATCCTACAAAGTTGATTGACACATTACTGATTTATGCCAGAGGAGGAAGCTGTCCATCTTTTCCCCCTCCAGAGTATCCTCTTTCATACCAGAAATGTCTTCACAAGCCAACCCAAGAACATGTCTTAAAGCCAGTAGTATCTTTCCAGGTGTTAAAAAGTTTATTTGCACACCTATCCTATAGACCAGTCATTTTAAGTGTTATGGGAAATAGATTTCATACATGTTAATTTCAAGACTACTTAAGGTGCTTAGAAAAAAACAAAGGCTGACATCAAAGCTGGTGACTACCAACAAGCTGAGCCTGCATCTACTAGCCTTTAACCCCAGAATCTCCCTACTGTAGCTAGCCAACACTCACAAATACCATTCACACGTTTATGCTTCCCCAGAAGGAAAGACAAGGTTTGCAAGAAATGGCAGAGCAAGTACCTATAGCTTTTCTCAGGAATCAGACCCTACAGTGACCTCTGTGGGAAAACTGGGGGGACTGGGAGCGGGGGACAGTGAATCTGAATGAAAAGACATGGCAGATAAAGGAGTATTTACTTAATAAACTCTTCTCAGTTTTCACATGTACAAACACTCCTGATGTTTGGTGATGAACTTTTACATCAGGTTAACAATTAAAATGAGCAAGAACATTCAGCAGTGACATATTGGTCTCTGATCATTGATTAACATTAACTGAGATGAACCTGACCTTCTCCTTCAACCATAACATGGATTTCCAACTTGCACTTGAAATGTCATACTGTCTACCAGCCTAATAGATTTTGACAAATCAGCTCAATATATGATCCAGGAAAGTCGATTAATATACTGACAGATGCTTCGTTTACTCTGAGGCATGCTACCAGAACCTTCAATTCCCAAGGTTTTCATGGAAAGGTACGGTTTATTTTAACAGAATATATGATAAAACAGAAATATTTTGGAATAATAACCTAAGATTTCTCTTGTGTATGAAAACCTCAATTTCTCCAAGTTAATAAATTCACGTATACTAAGATGTGTGGTTGGAATCACAATTGTCATTTTAAGAATTAATTTTATTCCAAACTATTCACTGCAACTGCTATGTACAGCTCTTACTTCAGCAGCCAAGCCAAGGTCTAAGCAAACCGACACAAGCCAAGCCCCTGGAGTTCACTTCCCAACCCACCCCTGCAGTGGGGCAGTACTTGGAATGGCTACTGTGCACCCACTCACTGCCCCACACCCCCTTTCTAGAAGAATCTGAGTCTTCAGGAGATTTACATGTTTTTTACCCACCTCATCATGCTAAACCCACAAATGCAAGATGCAGTCGTAGCCAGCGAGAGGGGCCTGGGGAGAGGACACAGATGGGCTTCTGCCACATGGTTTCCACGCTCTTCAAAAGAGCCACATGGGAGAGCAGCATCCCCCCTCCCCTGAGCACTTCATGTAGAAACAAGCACCACGGAAGAGTCAGGTGGGGCAGTCAGCTCCCCAGCTCTGGGGCCCCCACCATGGCACTATTTCCCAGCATCTTGCACAAGGAAGCCTTCCCTTCATTGTCCAAGCTCTCTTGTGTTTCTGTTTCCTCTTCCTTCCTTTGCAGCTGGAGACCTCAGGCCTGATCCCACTAGACTTTAGAGCCAAGCTGCAAACATAAATGGACTAACTCCTACACTTACATAAAGACAGAGTCCTGATGGCACAAAGCCCCTCACACCCATAACTCAAAGGCCCTAATTTAGAGGAATCTGTTCTTTTTCCTTCTTTCGTTCCATCCATCCATCTACTCTTCCTTTTCCTTCCTTTCTTCCTTCCTTCCTTCCTTTCTTTCCCCTCCCTCCCTCCCTCTCTCTCTTTCTCTTCTGTCTCTGATAAATATCCAAATACCATTACACCCCACCAAGGTCAATGCAGTCACGCATCTTTCTACTTCACACACATGGTTTCTGTAGTATGGGAACAAGAGTAACAACATGAGTTTTTGTGCCATTTTTTTTTAAGAGACAAACCAGCAAAATAAGATCATCTCATGCATGTCTTACTAATCGAATCAATGATAACCTTAACCAATTTTAAACCTTTTATATTTGATTTTTTGCAGTTTTTGTCCTATTTTGCTTTATTGGAGTAGGTCTATAAGGGGCAAGAGGTGACAAGTTAGTTTAATTGCTAAAACTAAATTATAAACTGTTATGAACATAGGATTGATTTTTCACTCTGACCTGGAAGACCATGAGTTTGAAGAGCCTGTCTTTCATGGTCCACGGTAAAGAGAAAGTGTTGATTTTCTTCCGACTTTCACAATCACAGACAACTCTAGTTTAAATTCTCTACTCTTACCCCTACCTGTGGGAGGTCCCAGCTTAAGGTGTTCCAAGTGCAAGCTTACCAGGAATAGAATTAGGGAGGTAGAGGAGTCAGTCAGGGCCCACCCCCCCGGCCCCCCCGCCAGCTACAAGAGGTTGGAAGGCTTCCGGAGAGACTCAAGGAAGATACAAGTCTTAGGCTGCTCCCCAACCAGCTTCAAGGCCCTGGTCTCAAAAGGAGCTGGCTTGGAGCTGCAGGATGAAAAGTAGGCACTGCTGGTTTTTCCTCCAAAGAGCAGCATGCTAGTGCCACTAGGGCTCCTGTAAAATGAGGGGCTAGAAGTGATAATCATTCTCTAAGGCCTCAGACAACTTTAAATTCTAGGAACTGCATGAATTCACTCTCTGCCATTATTAAAAGATGTAAATGACTGTTAGCATTGACACAGAACATTTATATGGTTAATGCCCCCACAGAACCAGTTGTTGTTACCACCAGCAGAGGGAAGGTAATTTCTGGTCTCCACCCTGTTTCCATGGAAGAGAATCGGTGTTATCAATCACTTGATTGATTGGTTGTCTAGTTATCCAAAACATGACCTTAAGAATGAAATGAAACTTGCCATTTATATTCTCTGCAGGGATATATTAATAAAAGAAAATGCAGCTTTGTGATTTCTGTCACATCCTCGGTGGCTGAGGGATAAGGCAAATACTTACTGTGCTTTGTAATATCCTTGCCACAGAGAGCTCATTCTGAGATGATGAGGCTGACGGAGGGATCTGATTGTCAGGGGCAGAGCTGGGATCTGAAATGGACACTTCATTTAGACCTTCTGGTGGCCTGCTCTCAGGTTCATTCGTGGAGTCCAGCTGTGCAGCTCTCAGGGCAGCAGATAATACCTGAACCTGAGCTGCAGGGAGAGAAGTTTCAAGAATTGTAATAACTTCATGTGGCTTGTGGGGCTTATTTCAGAGAAGTGTGCACCATGCTACGAGATGTGAGCAGTGCACAGACATGCACATCTGTTCCAGAGTCGAAAACCACTTGGAAGCAGGGCTCTGGAGTCTCCTCAGCAAGGTGCACAGTTAGGGACATGATAGTAACCATTTCACTAAATGCAAGGTACATAAGAGACATCAAATCTGAACTTGAAAAGCCTTAATCAGGAAAACCAGAGTTTGACTCCACTGTCTTCCACAGAAAGATAATATAACATTATTGAACAATGATGGCTGGGAGGTCCCCCACCTTGGCAAGGGATATCTTTTTCCCTATTTATAAAATAGGATGCTACCTTTTCTGCTACACACACACACACACACACACACACACACACACACACACAGACAACTGTAAGAGTAGACCAATTTGGTGAGTAATGATCTTAATAAGCCCCCAGGGCTACCTGTCTACAAGATGACTGAGATTGCATAACAAAAAAGATGACATATTCCACGTATCCTTCTATAAAAATAAAACTGCATGTTTCCATGTCTCCAACCTCCCAGTACATACAAACTACTTCCTGCATCTTATTTTCCACCAGTTAGACTCAACACACCCCAAAATTCATTCAAACGTTTGGAACTTATAGCTGGCTCAGGACAAGTCCCACCATGCCCAAGGCAAGTCCCATCTCCTTAGAGAAGCACACCAGGTGCTTCCAAGACCTGAGGGACATTCCTTGCCATGACCAGCCCACAAACAAAACATGTCATTTTTTTTCCTGAGTCTTTTAGGGTTACAGATGCTTTCAAGATCTAAGGAAAGTGGTAAATCCTTCCTTACAAAGAAGTTAAGCAGCATATACATGTAAGATACTACAGACAATGGCTTCAAGGAACTGAAAGAACTCTCTGGCATTCATCTCTCCACCTCCCTAGATAGTGGTTTCCCGCCCTCCCCAAGCCCAGGTCAAATCCCACCTGCTCTGAGATGTCCTCTGCCAGACATCTGCTCTGTCCCCAGGAAAGAGGAGCTTCCTGCTTGTGCTTCCGGAGCATATCATGTCCCTGCCCTCACCAAAGGCTATGTGGGGCTCCTGCACAGTCCCCTCAACCAGAAGCCAGGGCAAAAAGTCCGCCTCACTGCTGTCTGGCCCCCTGCTCTGGTCCTAACACTGGGGATCAGACAGATCCAGTAGTGTGTTTTCCAAAACCAGACCTTTGTCTATAGCTATTAGATGTGATACGTTACATGTGTTCATTCCTTCAGCAAACACTAATTTAATTTCCTTCACAAACTTAAGGACAAAGAATAATCATAGGGCTAACTGGATCTTCACATTTCTCTTCTCGAAAGCTTCACAAAGCTTTGCCCAGCAACAGCAGCAAGTGTTGTTTTTTCCAATTTCTCCAACTCAAGGAATACAAATATAGCACTGTTTAGAGAAAGAAGAGTCGTGATAATGGATATGGATTGCAAGGTCTGGCTCTCAGATCAGACGCTCAGTGGGAGCACTAGTCATAAAATGAAAAATAGCCCAAAGAAGAAGTTGTACTTTTCCAAGCAGCACAAAGACAGAACCCTTAGAGTTTAGCTAAGGGATGATTTAATAAGCTCCTAAAGGAACACCACCCTTAGCTGTTCATTACTAGAAAGGGCACTGGACGCGGGAAATGACATCATAGCAGCCATGGAGCTAATGAGACTTTCACGCTATAGATATGCCCAACCACCATCCCCTGCTCCATTAGACCAGACTTCAAGCTGCGCACATCTGTCCTCAGAACAAGGAGGTGTAGTCTTCACACAGGTCCACATGGAAACGTCTCTGACTTTACCGGCCATGGTGAGATCAAACCAGTCTCTTCCCTACAGGCATGTACAGTGTAAATAAAGACAGGCAGACACACGTACTAGTATACAGGCCTCAGGAAGAAGGAAGTGGCCATGTGCAATGTACAACACAGAAACATCCTATTCCATTTTCTCTTTAAGGAGAATGAACTTACCTTGAACATCTGGATCACAGATCATATGTTCCTGTAAACTCCTGAGGACCTTCTGAATCTCACTTCTGGCTACACAGCTGTTGTACACACTCTCAGGTCTTGTACAGCCCTCTTCCTGAGCGCCAGCCTCACTCAGAAACAGCTCCATGTCTTTGCTGATGTCAGGGAGAGGAGTTCGCCAATAAAGGACATTACTGAATACATCATCTGAGTTCTCTGGGTGGCTACTGATAGGGAAGTTGTTAGTAGAAGGGAGTTCCAAGATGGCATTGGCCTCTGGGGAAAGCCTAGTCAACTCAGCTCCAGCCAAAGCAGGACCTTCCTTTGGGTTTTCTGTTAGGCCGTTGGAAGAGCTATCGCCATGCAGGAAAATACTGGTTTCTACTCGTGTCCCTTCCACACGTAGATCTGGCTCTGTCTGCACAGGCTTTGTTGAACTGGGTTAAATAGAAGGAATCAGACTTTCAGTCCCACGTAATAGCCTGGAGGTAACATGGAAAATCCTGTGACCAAAATTCTCACAAGCCCAGTCCTTTTCCTCTAACTCATCACCAGGCCTTCTGGTGACCCCTGGTGTCAGAAAATTAAAACCTCACGAGTGAGAAAGAGATCAAAGTAGCCCCTGCTCCAAGGGCAGTACAGCATACATGGGAAATGCTACACAGACGTTCAGCCAACCCTTCACTGAGTTCAAGTGGTGATGTGTCCTGGCTGCTGTAAAAACTTCTTGGTGCCTACACCTAAACAGTTTACTGCCCAGTAGTGCCTCCACCACAGACAGGTGATGGGAAATAAAAAGGTCCCAAAACTGGCAAGACCTGGTTATTTGTTACCCACCTTGAAAGTCTTTATGAGGAATAGGAGTGACCAAATTGTATGATGAATATTTAAATAAAATATATATCAGTAAAAGACATATTACCATTAATCTTCCTAGAAATCCTCCCCCTTGCTTCAAACACACTGATCCATTGTTCTTGCCACTTTCTGTAGCAGTCCTGGAAGTCCTCTTTTGGAAGTGTTTTTATGAGATACAATAAAAAACACAGTGAATGCTGCTACCAAGTGTCACCCAATGGAGAGGCAGACTTGTACAAACATTACAGTGTATCCTCATCTACCTTACTTACATCACTGCAACTAGCATCATGCAAGGTCTGGGCTCTTCCTCAAAGTCAATAAAAATTTTGAGTCAATTCAGGATATTGAGGCAGCCACAACAGCACAATTAAAGACATGAAAGAGGACTTCCAGAACTGCTTCAGAAAGCACCAAGAATGATGGGATAAGTGTGTTCAAGGAAAGAGGGAGTATTTGGGGGGGGGGGTAATAGCAATGTGTCTTTCACTGTAATAAATCTTTAAAAATATTTAAACATTCACTATACTCTTCAATCATATCAGACTACTTTCCAATCATACCATATGTGTGGCAGTTGGGCCTGACATTTAGCAGGAGCTCATTGAATTCTCATGGAGGAAGGGTGAAGGGAAGGCCAAAGCAATCTTCAGAGGATCTGTATTATCTGAGGTATGAACTGGCTGCTCTCACACTCCTGCATAACACTAATAATACAGAGACATTTATAAACTACCTCAAGTTGTTTGGTGGGTTATGCCATCCTTAGAAGATATGAAAAACCTAAGATTAATTGCCATACAAAGCACTGTGGGGTTTATCAGTGGTGGTCAGGAATGTCACCTTTATGTGCACAGAACTCCTACTTCACAAAAGAACATAGGACTTTGGGTGAATCACATTTTTCCCTATGTAAATTAGCCAAAGAATTTCATTAATCAAAAAGTAAAAGAAAATTTTCTTTATAGGTTATTTAATCACTACTCTCAATGAATATTTTATCTAAATTTAGGAGATACAGTAGCTTCATTATTTATAACCCAGTAGTCAGGTTTCAAAATCATTATTGCATTTAGTTTTTGCTTCTTTACATAATTAAAGCTCTAATATTCCATCTTACCCAGAAGGTCATTATTACTAAAATTCCAGACTGCCAGAATTCTAGGTGGATGCTTGAGATAAAATGGGAGTCTGGTGATGATCTTGGTGGGAGCGTACCTAGTGGGGCAGGCATCACCACAAGCACTGGGATTAGGTGAGGCAGAGGCAAAGTCAGCCTCCAGATCCTGGCTTGGTGGCTGGATGCTCAGGGTGCTGTCCTCTCCAATGTACAGGTCAGCCGTGGAGGGGTTTGCAAAGGTGGAAATGAAGGGCCCAAGGGACTGGAAGGCAGCCTGGCGCACCTGAAACCAGAGAGAAAGAACAGTGCAGCAGAGGCCAGGCTGACCCCAGGCTGACACAGACGGCTGTCCCCAGATGCCCGTCAAATTGGGTCTATACAAATTTACTCCTTCCCACATCAGTCCCTAAACTCCAATGAAACTATTTTTCAATAGAAAATAAGCAGAAATTTGGCCCCATTATGCACTTTTTATTCTTTTAGAATATTAATTCCACAACAAACAATACTTATTAATTGTCATGGGCAAGTTTATGGTAGTAACACAAAAGCTAACTGCTCAGTTACAGTGCTCTCCTTCTCAGTTCTCTGACATTTACTTGCTGCAGATGTTGAGGTATGTACCACTTCCTCAATATTCACCTCCATGTTTTGGAGATTTCAGATGTCCTGAAATTAGATTTCGACCTCACAAGATCAAAGTCTAATTATGCCAGTCAGTAATTGAAAGGACAAAATACAAATCCAGACACTGAAGCAAGGCCCAGAAGTTGGATGCGGCTGGTGAGGTGGACAGTGGCAAGGCCAGTGTGACGGGGCTCCCATCACTCACCCAGCGACAGGGGTCACTGAGGAGTCTGATGAAAAGAGGTGAAAGCTGGCTTCTGCGGACCTCAGGGGAGGTGTTGTAGGACACAGCCATGAAGCATTCCGCACAGGCTTTCCGCATACCCCATACGTTATCTGAGCAGAGCTCGAAAAATCTGAGGAGCTAGCAAAAATAAAACAAGTAATAGAGTTACTCAAATCTGATTACTCTAAGGATAGGTAGAACCTGTCTCGATGTTGCAGTAAAGACAGATCCGGAAAATAAGAACAAAGGCAAATATACAGTGCTCTAAAAGGAAGCATTTGAGACAGAGCAAGTGTGATAAGAAAGTAACATCTCCTTCACCTCCTAACTTAGTTAAGTGACTTGGCTAAATTTAATAAGATAATAGAGAAAACTCTGAAAAGGCAGAATGACATACTCATGACAGGCAATATAGGTAAAGATGGTAAAAGACTGAAACTTACTAATGTCCCAACTGCCTGCTTACCTGTCCCTGCCTCTGACAAGGTTCTACAGCTCTGTTCAGACAGAAGGACAGTGACACACAGATCCTGCCTGCAGCAATCTGAACTGTGCCCAACAGAACGCAATCAGTTACCACCCTAGACACGGACACAGTTCTGAGTCTTTCTGTGAGCTCCCTTTGGGACTCCTTGATTCAAGTGGAAATATGGGGTACTCTCAGTTCTCTATTAAACACTTACTGGTTTTCCCTATAAAAGAGTTAAATGTAATCTCAGGTTTTTTTGCTTTTTGAAGGTTTGGGGTTTTTATGGTTTGGGGGAGTTATTTTTTGTTTTGTTTTTTGGTGTTTTGAGACAGGGTCTCGCTATAGTGTTCAGACTGGCCTTGAACTCACTCACAGTGATCCTCTTGCTTCAGCCTCCCAAATGCTGGGATTACAGGCTTGTGCCACCATGCCCAGCTATTAAATATAATCTTTGACATATGTTCATTTATATTTACATGAAGGTCATGATTACATTTTCTTTTAAAATTTATCCTTTAAGATGCTCTGATCTTAATATCCTAATGTAAAATAGCCTGGGCTGGGGATTTAGCTCAGTGGTTCTGGTGCCTACCTTGCAAGCACAAAGTCCTGAGTTCAATCCCCGGTACCAAAAAAAGAAAAAGACCTAATGTAAAGTAGCCTAAAATGTTTCCTAAATGGGAATATGATATGGTCATAGAAATATCTACCTATACAACAATTACCATGTTGGTCACTACTGTTCTTTATTCAGATACATAAGTAGAAGACAACATTCTCTTCAAAGCAGCAGACCATTACAAACTATTCTTGGGTTAGAACTATGTTGACATGGCCTATACTTCCAACAAAACAAATAAAGTTCTGGACTTAAATTTAAAAAATAATTTAAAGCTTACACTCTTTGAGGTTAAATTCCCACCATACAGGTAGGGCGTTCTGTCAATAACAGTAACACCTTTAGGTGCCAGGCACCAGGTAAAAGCAATGGGGAAACAAAGATGAACAGGATGGGGCCCTAACCTCCGAATCCCCATGCAAAAAACTCTCATGGGGCACTTTGAACAAAAGGCCAGGTGTGGAAAGGAGAGAGAAACATTCTATAGTACAGTGGGCAGGAGAGTCTGGATGCCTGCCCAGAGGTGAAACCCACATAGATCAGGGTAGTGTACAGAACTGAGAAAGGTGACTGGAATGAGGCAGAAAAGATATTTATTTGTAAAGAGACCTGACAGGCCAGTGACCTACCAACCAAGAAAAAAAAATCCGAGTGGTTCTGAGGCCCAATGGCAATGTGATAGTGTAGTAGAATAAGGAGGGGAGAAGAGACAGACAGCGGCTTAGACAGTGAGAAGAAACAAGGGACTGTGAACTGCAGGAGACAACAGCAAATTCCAAAGGAAACTGGCCCTAGGCTGCTTCCATCCCATACCCCAGACCAGCTGCCTAATGCTTAGGAAAAAGGGTAACTTCACAAGTTGAGAACTTTCATACTGATGAATGCAAAACTGAGCTGCCAATCCAAATAAGAGACTCCTAAGTACAAAACCTTACACCGATTCAGAAAGTGCACTAAGAAGTAAATCACCAATTAGGATTGAAAAAAACTTCACATACCAAAAATTTCTCAGTGGCTTCTTGTCCAACAGCATGACAAACATCACCAAAATTCATAGCACACACCTTAAGAATGCAAAAGACATGCCCATTATTCTTTTCTTTCTTTTTTTGTCTTAACAAATTGTAAAAACTAACAAGCAAGAACCCAGGAAGAATTATGCCTCCGGTCAGGCAGCTAAGAGGCCCCTACCAAGCCCAGCACCCACACGGCACCATGCTAGGTGCCTCTGCTGCATCTAAAACAGAAGGTTTGCAAGGTGCTCAATTCTAGGGTTTTTCTGGCTCTTAATTGATCTGGATACATAATGCATTTGGTTAGCAACCGGGAAAAAAGAGAGCTGTTACAGTCTCTGCCTGGTGAGTGAGGCCATCATCTTGCCCATGAACCATGCAGAGAGGCCAGAGGAGCAAGGCCTGCAGGCAGCAAGGTGGAGGCTGAGGTTGTTGGGGGAAGGACAGCAACAGCCTGCACAGGAAGAATCTGACAACTAAGTGGCAAGCAACTCACAGGGAAGCTGGGGCTGGGTTGGAAGGCACAGCCAAAATAAGAGGGTTCTGACACAAATCACCCCAGGAAATCAAAGACCTTGCAGGTCTGGTTAACAGCATCTAACCATCAGCCAGCAAGATCCCAAGAGCAACTGATTTGCTCACAAAGATTCTTATCTCCAGGTCTCTAAGTATCTCCTAATTGCAATAAAAACTAGAATCCTGTTCAAATATTTTCCTTACACAGTTCATGAGGGCCACATTTCCCTACTGAAGATGTAGACAGAAACCTTAGAGGAACTGATTTTGAGTATTTTAATTAGAGTTTTGAAACTCTTATGTTCCCACCTTCCGAACTTGAAAGAGCTTCCTGTCACCACACAGCTCACAGAACCGAGGGAGTAGCAGGCGCTCAACTGTGCTCTTACTCAGCATTGCAGCCATTTTGCAGATCATCTGCAAACAACAAGAAAATCAGTCATTTGAAATACCAAAGCAACCAGGCCACATGTGTCACCAACAAGGTGAGCATAATATGAATCACAATTAATTTCCATGAGGAACAGAGCAGAATGATTTTTAAAAATGCTAAAGGAAAAAAAACCAAATTCGTCAAGCTCAACTCTCTATCAAGCACAACTATAACTCAAAAATGAAGGTAAACTAAAGATACTGTTAGATAAACCAAAACAGAGATTTCATCACCAGGTGACCTAAACTATTCAAAGTGCTAAAAAGTAAGTTCTTCAGGATGAAGGGAAATGACACCAGATGGTAACTAGGAAAAGAAGTTCTAGGAAAAAAAGGAACGATAATCCTCACAAATGGTAAAAAATCAAAGTATGAAAGGCTGTATTTTTTCTTTCTAGGAAAAGAAGGAATGATAATTCCCACAAATGATAAAAAAATCAAAGTACAAAAGGCTGTATTTTTTTCTTTCATTAACTTCTTCAAAAGAAATTTGTGACATAATACGTATGAAAATAACAACAACAACACAAAGGATAAAAGTGAATGAAACGACACTGCTAAAAGCTGCTGTAGTTTTTGCCCCCCCACCCCCACCCCGCTTCAGTACTGGGGATTGAACCCCAGGCTGCACCCCTGAGCTACACCCCAGCCCTTTTTATTTCTTATTTTGAGACAGGGTCTCCCTAAATCACTAAGATGCCCAGACTGGGCTCAAACCTGGAATCCTCCTGCTCAGCTTGCAGAGTGCTGGGACTACTGGCATGAGCCACTACACCAGCTAAATTGTTGTCATTTTTGAGAAATTAAGACACAATCTTAAAAAAATATTCAATTAACCCAACAGAAAGAAGGAAAAAAAATAACAAAGAAACAAAAACTGATGAGAAAAATGGAAAATAAATAGCAAAGTGGCAGAAATAAATCCAAATATATTAATAATCATATAAAGATAAATGGACTGAATGTTCCAATTAAAAAGCAGAAACTATCAGCCTAGATACAAAAGCAAGACCCAACTATAGGCTAATGCAAGCAGAAACATTCTACATATAAATACAGGCTGAGGATAAAAGAATATAAACAGTAATAAGCCTAAGAATGTTGGGCTTGTTATATTAATATCACAGTAGACAAACACAAAGATTAGTACTAGAAATACTGCTTAATGATAAAAGAGTTAATATATCACAAAAATGTAAACATTAAACATATGCCTTTACATACTTAAAATAAAAAAGGTAGGCTTAAAAATATTGTTTCCCCTTTATGAAGCTAGAAAAATGCAACAAAACTGAGCTCAAGAGAGTAAAAGACAGGAAAAAATAAATAGTAGAAATCTATGAAACAAAGAAAACAAACAAGATCACCACTCCTGTTCAACATAATATGTGAAAGATTACCAAGACCAATTAGGCAAGAAAAATAAGAAGGATGTGCATTGGAAAGGAAAAAGTCAAGTTATCATTATTTGCAGATGATATGATCCTCTACATAGAAAAATTCACCAAAAGATTCTTAGGATTAATAACCAAATTCAGTAATGTAGCAAGAAACAAAATCAACACACTAAAATCAATAGTGTTCCTGTACGCTAATAATGAATCCACTGAGAAAAGAAATTAGGGAAAAAACATTATTTACAATAGCACAAAGAAAAATTAAATACTTAAGAATTAACCTAAGGAAGGCAACCTAAGGAAAGACCTCTATAATTAAAACTATAGTACTCTGAAAAAAAAAAATTGAAGGGGACATCAGAAAATGGACAGACATCCTATCTGTTCCTAGATGGGCAGCACCAATATAATCAAAATGGTCACATTTCCAAAATTGATATACACATTTAACATAACCCCAATCAAAATTGAAACGGCTTTCATCACTGAACTGGAGAAAACAATCCTAAAATTCATATGGAACAAAAAGAGACCCAGAATAGCAAAAGCAATCCTGGGCAACAAGAGCAAAGCTGGAGGCCCTCACAATCCTGGACTTGAAGTTATATTACAAAGCTACTGAGATTTGACAACCTATATTGTGGGAAAAAAATTTTACCAGCTGTTCCTCAGACAAAAGACTACTATCTAGAATATATAAAGAACTCAAAAAAGTCAGACCCCCCAAACTTAAAGACCCAATTAAAAACCAGGCATCTGAAATGAACAGACATTTCTTAGACAAAGAAGTAAAAGTAGCAAATAAACATATGAAAAAATGTTCACCATTACTGGTCATTTGAGAAATGCAGATGAAAACAACACTGAGATTCCACCTCATCCCAGAAAGAATGGCAGCTATCCTGAAAACAACCAATAACAAATGCTGGCAGGGTTGTTGGGAAAAAGGAACCCTTTTCCATTGCTGGTGGGAGTGCAGACTGGTGCAACCACTGTGGAAATCAATAGGGAGATACCTCAAAGAACTAGGACTAGAGGTCCCATTTGACCCAGCTATTCCCCTGCTGGGTATCTTCCCAAAAGAATTAAAAGAATCATAACACAGCAATATGTGCACACCCATGTTTATAGCAGCACAGTTTGTAATAGCTAGAACTTGGAAACAGCTCAATTGCCCATCAACTGGAGACTGGCTAAGGAAGATGTGTTTCTTTTTTTAATAAAATAGAGTACTACTCAGCCATAAAGAATGAGAAACTAGAGTCACTTATAGCTAAATGGATGCACATTGAGGCCATACTCTTAAGTGAAATAAATAGGAGACAGATGTATAAATACTGAATAGTTTCTCTGGTGTGAGAAACTGAAAGTGTAAATAAGAATCAAAATGTGTAACAGATAATGTGAAACAGGAAGAAAAGGTCTAAAGGGGAAGGGGAAGTGGAGGAGTAGGGGAAAGGAAAGAAGGGAAAGGAAAAAATATGAGAAAAGGAAAAAATGGAAAAAGTCTTTGTAAATAGGGAGGGGTGGAAGGGTTGAAGGGAGGGCAGGGGAATGGAAAAAAAAATAAGAACCAAGATATATCACGTAAAGGTACAAATTCCCAATGACAAATGTCATCATATTGTATACCTAAAATGTACTAATAAACTTAATGAATAAAAATAAATAAATAAAAAGTTTTTTAAAAGCTACTGTGATTTAAAAAGAAATTATAGTACTGGCACAAAAACAGACATGAAGTTCAGTGAAATAGAACAGAGGATACAGAAACAACCCCAGGCATATTCACCTATTTGATGTTTGACAAAGGGGCCAAAAGCATACACTGGAGGAAAGATAACCTCTTTAATAAATGGTGCTGGGAAAAGTAGCTATCCAAATGCAGAAGACTGAATCTAGACCCATATCTCTCATTATGTACCAAACTAAAATAAAAATACATCAAAGAACCAAATGTTAAACTGGAAACAACCTGCTGGAAGAGAAGATAGGTAAAACACTTGAATTCATAGACGTAGGCAAGGACTTTCTGAACTGAACCCCAGTTGTACAGGAAATAGTTCCAAGAATCAACAAATGGGATGATATTAAATTAAAAAGCTTCTGCACAACAAAACAACCAACCAACAGAGTGAAAAGACAACCTACAGAATGGGAAAAAAAAATTGCCAGCAATTTCTCAGAGGACTCATATCTAGAATATACAAAGAATGCAAAAAAAATTAGATCCCCCCCCAATAAAAGACCCAATCAAAAAAATGGAGAAGTAAAATGAATAGACACTTCACAGAAGAAGTAGTACAAATGACCAATACATGAAGAAATGCTCAACATCACTGGCTATTAGATAAATGCAAATTAAAACAACACTGAGATTCCATCTTACCCCAGAAAAAATGGCCACCATCAAGAAATCAAACAACAAATGCTGGACAGGCTGCAGGGTAAAAGGAACTTTCTACATAGTTGGTGGGAATGTAAACTGGTACAACCACTATGGAAATCAGTATGGAGATTCCTCAAAAAGCGAAAACTAGAAATTGCATTTGACCCAGATATTCCCCTTCTAGGTATCTTCCCAAAAGAATTAAAGAGATCCTACGACAATGATGTATGCACACCCATGTGTACAGCAGCACAACTCATAAGAGCTAAATCTTGGAAGCAGTCTATGTGTCCATCCACAGATGAATGGATAAAGAAAATGTGGTAGTGATACACAATGGAATTCTACTCTGCCATAAAGAAGGACAAATTCAAGTCATTTGGAGGAAAATTAATGTACCCTGAGACCATATTTTAGTTAAGTGAAATAAATCAGATGCACAAGCTTAAATATCACATGGTTTCTCTTATACAAGAAACCCAGAGTAAAAATAAAGAGCAAAATAAAAGATAACAGGAAGCAGGGAGATAGACCATTCTCAAAGGTGAGGGGGATCAAGAAATGGAGGGAAAGGAGAGGGAAAGCAGGAATAAGGGATGACAAAAAGGAATCTGGATGTCTTATGGACATATTCCAATGCCACACAAGGAATGTAAACACTGTGCATTGTAGACATATACAAAAAAAAAAAAAAAAAGGAAAGGATTAAGAGATGCTGGAAGGGGGGGAGAGGGAATGGAAAAGGTTGAAAAAGGAATTAAGATGTTTTACGTACATGTGTCAACTTGCCACAAGGAATGTAAACATTATGTACCACACACGTAGTAATAAACTAAAATATAATAAAAAAGATTTCAATCCTTAAAAAAAAACAACAAAGAAATCCAATAAAGCAAAAAACTGGTTTAAAAACATAAATAAAATTGATAAATCCCTAACAAGACTGTTTAAGAAAAAATATAGCGGTAGGGGAAAGGAAAGAAGGGAAAGGAAAAAATATGAGAAAAGGAAAAAGTGGAAAACAAGTCTTTGTAAATAGGGAGGGGTGGAGGGGTTGAAGGGAGGGCAGGGGAATGGGGAAAAAATAAGAACCAAGATACATCATGTAAAGGTACAAGTTCCCAATGATGAATATAACTGTATTGTATACCTAAAATGTACCAATAAAAGAATTTAAGAAAAAAAATAGAGAAAACACA